TGCTCAGACTGCAACCGTGAACTGGCTTATTTGTTTAAAGTATCCAACCTGTACATGTTATACCATGCTGTGTAGTACTAGTAATATGAACATTGTGGTATTTTATACTTTGTAAATTACATGTACAGTGTAGATTGTATGTTTTTAGGTTTGTATTGGATGGTTCATCTGATCCATCTCTAAATAGAGCCTGTAATTGTAATCGTATGCTCCTTTTTATACTGAATATTTAGATGTGCAATTAGACCCCGTTCTCACTCACTTTGAAAGTGGTTTTAGTTAGACCGCTCCAGACCGCTCCAGAGGAACGGGTCTTGAGGAACGGTTTGCGAGCGTTCACACTCCGAGCCGTTTTTATGGCTCAAACCGCTCCACGAGTCAAAGTGGTCTTGTTGCTATGGCAGCTCAGGTAGGCGGGTCAATTTTTTCGCGTGCGGAATACAAACCGTATGTACCGTACTACATGTGCGCACGGAACGTCACTAGCTCACTTCCGCTCAAAGTACGCTTTCCGTTCACATTGCACGTTAGAGCGCTCTGGAGGGCTCTTAATAAGACCCGCTCCTCAAGACCACCTCGGAAGGTGGACTTCTGGAGCGGTCCAGAAGTCCGCTTCTGGACCACTTTGAGCGTTCTCACTCACCTAAGAACCGCTCCTCAGGAGCGCTCCAGAGCGCTCCAACGAAGTGAGTGAGAACGGGGTCTTACATGTTAGACAAAGTAGCTTGGAGTTTGAAAGTACACCAATCACCAAAACATATGTTGGTTTTAATTTTAGAGGTGCTGTAATGGTATTCAAGTGGTTTTGCAATGACTAGAAACGCAAAGGTCATGGGTTCAATTCCTAACACAGCACTTACATACATGTATAAATTATGTCCTTTGGCAAGGGAATGGGTACCTGGTAGGATGATGAAAGCCTTGTGTTAGTAATTGCCAAATGCCCTCCCGGTGACCATACTGTACATTGTGCATGGTCATGATAACCACTTCCAATGAAATGGAAATGGTGCACATTGTGCGTGACCGAATTTCATGACCGTGATAAAAATATAAGGCTGCGAGTCTGCGACGGGTAGTCGAATGCTCGAGTACCCGCACGGTTGACAACTACTCGGGTACGATTTCTCGTACCCAAATAGTCTGCCGCAAAAAAAAAAAAAAAAATGTCCAGGCCCACGCTTACCCGTGCCAGGGAGAGCGGCGGCCGCTGGCATGGTACCGTCGGTAAAAATGTTTCCCAACTCGAGCACTGTCAAACTCCCCTTTCAGAAACTGGGACCAAATGTCCAGATTTCTGTTTGGACTTGGAGGAAAATGGATTATTCTGCCATCTTTGGTTTTTAAAACAGCATTGTTTACTGTTATTATTCTTATTAAATCGGTGCCTTCAACTGCAACTCAAAGTAAAATTGCATGCGTTTTCGGCGAGGGACCTGGGAAACTGCCGAGTGGTATGGTAGTGGCAAAAAAAGAAAAAAAAAATCAAAAATTAAAAAAATTTAAAAAAAAATCAAAAAAATTATAAAAAAACATGGCGTCCGAATATTCGAGTATTCGCTTGTGAGCCTGGGAGTGTACTCTGGTACCTCATTACACTGTTGTGCACAGCCTTATAAAAATACTGGTAATAAAATCTGTAATGCATTTAGAGACGGTATTTCGTATTAAGCGCAGTATAAATCCAGGTTAATATTTTTTGTTTCTTCGATGTTGCTAATCTTCAAATTAACTACTTCATATATTACTTCTACTCAAGAATCATGAAAGCATCCTTGGATTTAAAAAGTCAATGCACCTGTACAGAATGACTCAGTACAGTAGAACCTACATGTAGCTGGCCTGCATGAAACCAGACTTGGGTTCTGTGAACAGGGTTTTATGTTTGGCTGGTACCGGTAACATTTATTTTCTTGATACTTCTGACCTCAATGTTATTACCGACAGTCCTTTTCAGGACTCCCCAATCCTCCCCCCTCTCTCCTCTCTCTCCTCTCTCTCCTCTCTCTCATACTAGGGCACTTTAGCAACGAGACGGTACGCACAGGAGACGGTAATGCGAGCGAAAAAAAAACAAACTGCGCATGCGCGAACCTGAAATCTCTCCGTCCCGTCAATTTTCGGAACGGTACTCGGCCAACATAGCGTTCGTTCCCTAAACACGACATAAGAGAGAAAGCTGACAAATAATTGTTATCCAAATCTAACAATGCAGGGCACTACCATGACTACTGAAGATAAAAACAGGGAATCTACTAGTGTTTCCAATGTCTGTTCGATAAGTAGCTTATTCTATACCTCAATCTATAATAAATTGATGGTTTGGCCGTTTAGGCCTACTTTCGGGGCCCTTTTTCATTGTTATGCATGACGTGCCTGTATGCTGTGCACTACCGCTCACCGTCGGGTCCATTGCCCCGGCGCTCCGTCCAAGCCTCAAGGCACCAGAGCACTAGCACCAAAAGGCAGCAGGCGTGCAGTTCAGCGCGGGAATCGGATACGGCTTTGCGTCCCCGTCGCCTTTAGCAGACAGCGAAAGCGCTTAAATATCACGACGGTAACAAGAGTGCGAGACCCGTCACAGTTTGTTAAACACTCCGTCTCGTTGCTAAAGCAACCGTAGGCCTACTGTATATCAATGTTTTATGTAGCACATAATAATGCCAGGTGAGTTTGAGGTTGATATAATACATGTACATGTACAGTACATGTACAGTCTACATGTACCTGCACACAAATTACTTCATTAAATGACTGGTACCCTTTAAAATTATTGTGATCAACTCTACTGCAACTGACCACTGAAATTTGATTTTGGTTATGTTTACTTACACCTGTACATACACCAATAAAGATCATCATCATGGTAATGCAAAAGCTTCTGTATGGTGTGTCTTATGAACTTTGGTCCGTCTTGGCTGTTCTGTGTACATTGTACAAATTGTACAATGTCGTTATTTGAACAAACAACCACCAATTCTTTGAAAAATTGTCTTCAAATTGTAATAAGTTTCAGTTTCACATTTGTGGTTGAGCCAAGAAGCATTTTCAAGTATGTTTGCTGTTTACATCACATTTGCTCATAAGGTAAAAAAATTGAAAATTTAGCAATTCATGTGCATTAATGTGCATTTTATGGGTACAGGCTTGGACTACCGGTAGTCAGATTTGAGGCAAACACATTCAAGAGAATTGAAATTAAATGCAATTTATATGATTTTTGACTCGCCTGCGTAGCAAAAAGCTAGACATACTGTACAGTAGGCGCCGATTTTCCAGTGATGGCGGCGGCGTCAACATCAATAAGTTTCTATTCAATGAAACTTGAACTAAAGGGTTATCTACATTTAGTATCCCCAATCAAGTGAGTAGAATCTCAGGTCACAAAGTCAAGGTCAAAGGTCATTTCAGGTCAACAAACTTAGACTATGTTGTGGCATCAGAAAACCAACTTTATCAGGGTGGACTTCCCCTTTAAAATGTTCAGTCTCCAGGCAGAACAGGATGTAGATGTGTACATAACTGTAGGTGATTACACAAGATTGAGAATGTTAAAGGATACAGGTACAGTATATAATTGCAACATGTATACATGCACAGTGCAGTGACCCAGATGCCAGTTATGAATGGAAATAATATTCTTTTTATTCTTTGTGCTCTGAAGTTGAATGATTGAACTTTAAAGAACCTGTAGAATAGCTTCTTGGGGGAGAAGTGAAAGAGATGGATCTTCATGTACATGTAGGTCTACTTGGTCTACATGCTCTTCATGTAGCAACATGCAAACTGCAAAGCAAGAAAATTGTTCACATTAAACATGTACATGTATACTTGTTGAAGGTTTCGATTTTAATATTTTAGGAATCACATTTAAACAAAATCAAGACAACCAATGTACTGTCTCAAAGCATTTTTATCACAAAATATGAATTTGATATCATAAAGTTATACATTTGTTATACACTGTATTGCCTTACCAGCTGCAATGTATATCAAGGGAATGCGCTTACCGGTACAGTACATGTAGGCTAGCTGCTACATGTATTCATGACATGCATTTCCCCTTCAAACCATCATGCTATCTGAACAAGTTTTAAATACATGTACTGTACATGTGGAGCAGAGCAATTTTGTATGTAGAGAAACAATTTAACATTTTATGTTAGATGTACTTTAGTGTACACATGCTATGATTGTTACAATTTCCTGGTATCGAATGTACAGTATGTGTACTTTTAAAAGGAAAAGGGAGGATATTGTTAGTTGTTGAAAGGAAGGGTAGAGGTAGGAAAAGACGGGGAGAGCGAGGAATTGAGAGCACCAAAGAGAGAGAGAGAGAGAGAGAGAAGGGGGGGGGGGGGGGTCAAAGGAAGGGAATGGGTGATGCAGTATGGAGAAAAAGAGAAAGAGAGAGAGAAGGATAGAAAGATAGAGAAAGGTTGACAGACAAAGAAAGAGAAGAGCAAACGAAAGAGAGAGAGAGAGAGAGAGAGAGAGAGAAAGAGAGAAAAGGGGGGGGGGGGGTCAAAGGAAGGGAATGAGAGATTCAGTACATGTATGGAGAAAAAGAGAAAGAGAGAGAGAAGGATAGAAAGATAGAGAAAGGTTGACAGACAAAGATAGAGAAGAGCAAACGAAAGAGAGAGAGAAAGAGAGAGAGAGAGAGAGAAGGGGGGGGGGGGGTCAAAGGAAGGGAATGAGAGATTCAGTATGGACAAAAAGAGGAAAAGAGAAAGATAGAAATATACAGAAGAGCTAACAAAAGAGAGGGAGAGAGAGAGAGAGTATAACAAAAGAAGTGGGAGGACTAGAGAGAAAAAGAGAGGTAGGGAGAGATAGAGGAAGAGGGCCTCGCTCAACATCGAACAATCCATGTCATGTCATGTACATGCAAGAATGTGATGGGTGTGCGCAGACGAGGAATTAGTGCAAACCCCACCAAGTCTCCAGTATTTCACGACCAAGTTTGTTTCTCTTCTCGTGTTCCCTCTCAAACACAGGTGCAGCTGACGGACTCTGGACCCTGAAGACAAGAAAGAGAGAGAGGGGTATCCCGTCTAGGCATGATCTCAGAAACATGACTCTAATCTACGGAGGATTCCCTTGATCATGTGACCACCATCTGGCCAATGGGAGATGATGACCCCGTCCCACCTTGTGTAGAGGGAGCCCCACCAGTACTCTTAAGTATCCTCGTAACCTCAAGTTCATTGTCTCTGTCAATACTCCAGCCAAGTACTGTAACACCGTCTGCCTGCATGCAGTAGCTCCCAAACCAGAAGCAGTGCTAGCTAGCGGGATTAGGGCAGAGCGTGGCGCCGCAATTAGCGTGAGTCACGTCAAGCACATTACCTCATTCATCAGCTACCGGGTGTACGAAACACTTCCTCACACTAATTACTGTGTTAAAGCTCTGTAGGATAAATAGAGTACTATCAAAATTCAAAAGTACTAGCTTTTAATGGATTTTCTACATCAAATTTGATTGATTATCCAAAAAGGTTGGGTCTTATGTAATTTTTTGTTTACAACACTCCAGTTTAAAGCCTTGTAGACAGTGATGAATTTTTCATGACGTTATTAGGCTGCTACTTGTAGATTGGATTAGTGATATGTCTAGGAATTAAGCTACAACCCATATCCTGCTGAATAAAAGATAGAGGTAGGAAAGGAAAAGAGCCAAGATACATCAAATTCCTGAGATCATTAAATAGTGATTGATGGTGCCAGCGGAAATCCCTGTTGGATATTAAGGAATACATCCCCGCAGATACAAAGCTCTGTAGATCCCACGATCGTCCTCCTCCCCCGCGAAAAACATCCTGGAATCTGCAATCTTAGTGACTTCTTAGCATATTCAGTGGAAGTGTTGCTGAACAAAGCAGTAAATAAGAGTTGGAAATACTCCCCCGTCAAATAGAGCCAAGGGCTAAAGCTCGCTGGATCCCTCAATCGTTTCCTCATCCACAAAGAACATCCTGGAATATGCCATTCTAGTGACACTTTCGTGTCGTTGCTCAAAGTGTTGTTTAAACAAGGATATCAATTAAAGCAGGGAGCAAGCTGATACAAAGGAATAATTCTCAAAAAATACAGAAAGGACTCAAAGGAGCATACTTGATCACTGTCCTCCCCCCGTAAAGAACATCCTGGAATATGCAATCCTAGCGACGTCTTCGCGTCATCCTAGGAAGTGTCATCTGAAGCAGCTTGAACGACCTGACAGCGTGAGTGATCATCTGTTGAGGAACCATGGCTAGGAGGCTTGTGTATTGTAAGGTGGTGCTGGCCACCTCCATGGTCTGGTTTCTATTGGATGTCATGCTGATTATGTACTATAGTGAATGCAATGGTGATGCAAGGTGTAACAACCAGGCCTTAGACCACGGTGTGCCCAGAGAAATAGAGGGTGAGTAGAGACCTGCGGGTCCCATCTATTTCCAAGCTCATTGATGTACAGTTAGATATGTAACAACTGAATTATTCATACCCCTTTAATATTATTTGATACTTTTTAAAATATTTTTTGTTACTCAAGAATGAAAGGTGGACTGGTTAAACTAGGCCTTTGCTTCATTCTCAAGAATCATCAATCTGGAAAAGAAAAAAAAAAAAAAAAAAAAAAATCAATTGTTTACATACTTTGAAGTTTTCAAAACTTGGGAAGGGTATGAATGAATTACAGGTAGTAGTTATCAACTGTATTTGGGTAAGTTCAAGCTATAGTATCTTTTGTTCAAGTAAATATCTTACTGACCATACATCTACATGTACGTGTAGTTAAAGATTAGATATCAGTATCTGAGGATTGTAGTGATACAAAACATGTGTACTGTAAACCATACTAGAGTTTGGATTAGGCACAATAATGTTTTGGTGTCGATTTGTACTTTTTGAGATACCAAAATATACACTGAATGACCAAATACAGTGGACTTGCCTCTTTGCAATCAGTTTATTTTATTTATAGTGATGAATGTGAAGATTATACTAAACTTGTTTTGAAATGGGATGAATTCCAGGCTTCCATTCTGAAAGGCTGTGATTGACAGGTTGATTGTGGTTCTATCGATCCCTCTTTTCAAATGTGCTTTCAAAAACATGTGCAGGCCTTTACATGTCCATGAATACAATGCACACATCTGTGCAATTCATTTATTAACTGGCAAATAGCTTTCAGTCCAATTTACTAAGTGCTTTGTCATTTTCCCATGTGTATCACCACCAGCAAAGATCTATTCATGATGTAGGTGAAAATGAAAGTCAGACATTGTGGGTTACAGGGTTACAGAGTTATTTTTCTCAGAAATGTCCCCCACCGCAGGGACATGAAATAGAAAGCTACAAAGCCAAATAAATTACATTATGTTTGTGACAGAACTGTGTGGGCGATACAAAGTTTCCCAAGGAGGGCAATATTGATTAAGATCTCAATTCAAATTTGGGATACATTGTGGATGACCTGAATGAATAAATCCAGCATAAAATTGATAAATTAGAGAGCAATTTACATTTGCACAAATGTACAGTGTACGTTTTTACTTGTAACTCTGGATTCTGGAAACTTTGTTTAAAATTAGCTCTAGAAAATTAAAGATATGCTCCATAATATGAGGAAATATCATTTGACAATAACACACCTCTCAAGATCTCATACAAGGTGAAAAAAGGTGAAAAAATATATGTATACCAATTCTAATTTGCACCCTTCTGCAAGGCATTGTTATGATTTTCTTACTTCATTGGCCAGTAATCACTGCCTCTGTTCTTCTTCTCATTTACTCTAGGAGGGCATGAACACGCCCCTCCCAAGCACCCACCTGCCAAGCCTCGGCACGACCCCAATGGGCCGGGAGAGATGGGTAAAGCTGTCATCATACCCCAGGACAAGGAATCGCTCAAAAACGAGATGTTTAGGATCAATCAGTTCAATTTGTTAGCCAGTGATATGATCTCAATCAACCGAACACTGCCTGATGTACGCATGGATGGGTGAGTAATGTTTGCAAACATTATCCTTGAGGCTGTTCACACCGCAATGAGGTCTATCGTAGCACCCCCTTTTTTCTAGCGCGCTAGACTGTGCTATCTCTTGTGGACCACCCCCAAGAGGTGCTCCAGTGGCACGCCGTTTGGGCTTGCCGTGGCTCGCTGTTGGGCGGACTGAAACGACGTTGTACCTTCCAAACCGCAGAGATAGCGCGGTCTAGCGCGCGCTATCTCTGCCGGTGTGAACAGCCTCCTTGTCAGTTACAAATGTCACATACATACATGTATGTAATGCCTCAGTTGCATTACCATAGCGACTGCATATCAACCGAATCTTGGCCATTACGGGTAACTTGGTCTGTCTGGCGTCAGTGTGATGGCAGTCTCATCAATTTGACTGAAACATTAATGAATGAACATGTATTTTCATGTCCATCAGACATGTTTCCCAGTCATTGTGTTTGTTTGTTTACTAGGCTTTCAGCATTAAATTGCTCAGAGGCTTGAGCATGAAGAGCTTGTAGTCTCCACAAATTTCTTATTTTAAGTGTGTTAGAAAAGGCTAGTTAATCTTGTTTTTTAATAGATTAGTGATACATAAAGATGGGAGTTGTTGCTACCTTGTTTGGCGTTCAACAATAAGGGATAGAGCAACATCGATCTGGCGCTGCTCAGTGGCTGCCGGGCTCACGATCAATTGGGCAAAAAGAATTTCCGTTTCGGTTTAATAAAATTTGGAGTGGACTATTAGGCTATTATTATTATTATTATTATTATTATTATAACATCATCTGAGCAGCAGCGAAAGCAATTTGATTGGATTTTTTGGGGCTCTCCTTGAAAGGACTGCTGGTCACATTGTTTGCAATGGCAAAATACTGTACAACAACAAAAAATCATTATCATCATATCATCTTCATCACCATAATCACACCCCGAGCCCCTGTGTATTTTCCCCCCTGTCAAGATTATCATCATCACCATCAGCAACATCATAATCATTATCATTATCATCATTATTTCATTTTTATTAACTAATACTTAATACAGGTATTTTATTATTGGTGTCAGTTTTTTAAATTGTTTGTAATAATAATCATGTTTAGTCTTTTGTTTTGGTCCAAAGAAGATATGATCATTTAATTGAATAGTCCTATTAAATTATTATGACTACTGTCAGTCTGTCATACAAAAATATAGATATTGAGCATTATACAATTGATGCATCCTCAATAGCTGGTGCAAACTTGAGCTTTAGATGTTAAAACTGATGAGCATTAAAAAAGAATGGACCAAGCCCTTCTTCTCCATGTGGGCAAATCCATCAACCCCTGCCCGCTTGGGGCTACATGTACATGTACGTACAGTACATGTAGTTTGAGTATAGATCTGACTCACAATCCAAGTGCATCTTTACTGGCAAATTAGTCTGCTAATTGGCCAAATAGCGGCTCTTTTAGGAATTAGCTGTAGTTTTAAACTTGGGATATTTGCTTGAGTTTAATACCCCATTAGCTTAATGGTAAATGTAGCCCACTGTTTGCTTAGGACTTCACAATGTAGTAGTTCTTGTGAAAGCTAATTGTGAGCACATATCGCTCACAATGTAATATCGCTGTATTACAATTAGAGAGATAGATTGAATAAAAACTCTAACCAACGGAAACTTGCCTGATACATGTACAATGTTTGTTTGGAGCCAGAAGGGCATTTACATTGTACTTATGTCATTTTTTTACCTGAGTTAACGCCCTTTTGTTTCTAACAGATGATTACTGAGGTGCAAACGAAATGAATGAAACAGGAACTGAGCCAGTCATCATCTGTTGCCATTCATCAACACTAATACTATTAAAGCTAATGCACATCATGGTGCTATTAGACACAGTAATGTATCTAAAAGACAGATGTGGATCCAGGATTTTTTAATTAAAAAAAAACGGGGGGGGGGGGGGAATGCAATATTTCTAAAATTTTCAGACAAAAATTAATAAAAATAAAAGGGTCACAAAAGGTCATCAATGCGGAGGAGGTGGGGGAGGACTTGTAACATTCTTGGAGCTGTGTATTGGGTTTCAAAAGGGGGCGGGGCACAGGCCAGATCCCTACCCCATAGTTTAATATCTGCCAGTGCTCAAAGATGCATGAAGACTCTGGATTATTCCTGCGCATACTCTGTATAAACATAATGTTCTGAAAAACCAGACACTTTCGCAAAGATCAATCTGTACCGACTTGTTAATGGTGGACCTTTATCTGCTAGAATTGGCAAGGAACATTGACAAATGTATATGGCGAGTTGAGAATGATTTCACTGTCTACTCATATTACGTCAAAGCCTGATACAGGTTTCTTTCAAATCATCACTGTACACAAGATTTGTTTTTGCATGTATATGTACTATAATTCCAGTGCTGTGTATAATAAATCGTTGTGGTTTACTGCAGCCCCCACCCCCCTATCAACCCTCCCTTTTTACTTGCTTGTTGTTTATTTATTAATCTGCTTTAATGACATTCTCCTGCAGCAGAAGTACAATATTATTATCTTTTTTTTACCAGAGCTCTTCTTTTAGTTTTCTATAGGCTATAGCTCCTTGCCTCCTTTGTACATATTTTTACAAAGCAATGACTCATTCTATACTAGCCTCCACCCACGGTGTAGATAGAAATGTTCAATTTAGGCAATGCCTTTGTCAGCGTCACTGCCCCACTGATTGATATTAATGTTGGGATAATCTCGGTTAAATGTAGCAGGGAACTCCCACTGTGCGACCCGCTTCATACATAATCCCTCTCCATTAGATCTTAAGGGTAATGTATTCACTGGTAGTATGTGAAAAGACATTATTCATGGATGTCTGGGACTATGTTGTGCAGTACATACTATACAATGTCCATGTAATATCTTAATGCATAAGAAAGTGCATTCATGCTTTTTGCAACTACATACAGTACATGTACATGTATGTATTGTACAATGGTCCCATTCATCAGACCTATTGTTACATTTTGTTCCCATACAAAAAATAAGTTTTGTTCTGGCCAGGGTTCAGACAGACAAACAGACAGACAGACAGACAGACAGACAGACACGACACGACAGACAGACAGACAGACAATACTAATACAAAAATGGAAATGAAAATCGATAATGATTATGATTTCTATGTTTGGATGATTCAAATCATTATTTTCATGGGCAAACAGTAAGATTTACATGGATTCATGATATTTCAACTGTTTGATTGCTGTTTCATATAATATAACTTTGAAAACATTACAATAAAAATCACCAGCCTTTTTCTTCACCACATTATTTACCAGTACTGGGTTCATTCATGTAGGGTAAATAAATATTTCCTTGATTATCTACAGTACATACTGTACATGTAGGGCATACTGCTATAACTAAACTTTGTCAGGTAACATCATTGACGCTGTACGTACAGTACACAATACATTTTGAGTTGTTGGGATTCCATCAATTACCATCCAGCAGTCTTTTTCAATCTACCATCCATTAAAACATTCTCCAATCTAATGGTTCATTTCCTAGCTACACAATTAAAGCACCATCACATACCAGCACCAGAATTACATTTCGTTCATCTACATGTACAAGTACGATAGAACATTTCCCCCTGAAAATATAAACATTACTGCCAAGGGCTCATTGCTGCAATTTTGCCGAAATTGTTTGTCTGGCTTCGACCGTTTTGACTGAGTTGCATGCTGCTGATCCGGTAGAATCGCCAAGCCTATCCGGGTTAATTTGATGGTGCGAAAAATGAGCCGAGTCACGTCTTGCCTCACCTTTATCGATACCCTGTATAGTCCTCTATTAAAGGCTACACTTCTTGCAGACACCAAGCAGTGAGTGATAGTGGGCTAATATGTGTCATCTGCTGAGACCCAGAAGGGCATTACATGGTACATGTAGGTCTGTGTGAATGAATGTGAGTGAAAACCCTTCTTGTTCTCTGCAGAAAAGATCATTATTCATACTTATTCACATCTTGTACCGTTTTAAAAGGCAGACTTTATTCACTGTACAAATTGTTTAAATTGTTTTGACACACATCAGTAACCAATAGAAATAGGCTCTTGCTTATTTGAAGAGACTTTTGTCACTTCATGAACGTTCACATGTACATGTACATGGTAATGCGTCTAATGACAATATGTGATACAATTTTTCTTTCTTCTAAAGCTAAATGATGAAGTTCAAGACTCTAGGTCCATTTACACATCCCAAAGACCATTTTTGTTTTTAAAGGTAAAGACCAGTATTGGCAACGCCCCAATTTCAAAAAATGAAATGGAAGCTCTCATTACCAATCATGTGAAAGAATATGTTTTGACTAATACATGATGATAAAAAATTTGCCGGGAAACTGCCTACTAATTCATATATTTGGTAAATTTATCTCTCTCATGGTCTGGTGAGAGAGATAGGGTAGTCCCATATACATCTTTCTGTGTATAGTGCTTGTAACTTTACGAAGAATGGGCCAAATTTCTTATCATTTTGATGTTTCCAGAACCTTGCAGATGCTAGATGCTAGATGATCAACCTTTTCTGATCAATTCCACAACGTTTCTTTCACAATGCAATCGCATGACCATTACTGGTCTTTACCTTTAATCATCAATTTTTTTGACTGCCATTTACACTAATGGAAAACCCCATAACAACCCGTCAGTGTTTGCTCATTCCAATATTTTGATGAGTAGTGTGTAACTGTGTATGCATGATTTGTCCCTGCTCTGCATGCTATCATGCAGAAGTGAGGAGAGTCGCATGACCAATAACCAGAAGCATTCAAAAATGTTTCAAGAGTGGGCATTTTACATGTAGCTGCAAAAATCAGTGAAATTTCTGTCAGCGTTCCATAAAACCACCCTCCAGAGGTGGATTTTTTAATTTTTTAATTATGTTTTGTTTGCCTGTAGTTGCTTAGCAACAGCGACGAAACATTTCCTTCTCAACAAAGCAAGTAT